GCTTTGGAGCCCTGCACTTAAGCTGTGTGCTCCTTTCTCGAATGGACGCAGAGAGCTGTGTTGTGAGAATGTGGTGAACTGTACCAGGCTTTTCCTTTCTGGCTGTCAACCAGCTCCCAATCATGGCACAGAGACTTATTATTAGTCTCGAATTCTCGGCCTAAGTTTCTGACTAGCTCTTTTCACTGATATGAACCTGTTTCTCTTTATCTACCTTTTGCCTTGAGGCTTATTAGCTTTCTTACATCTGTGTATCTTACTTTTACTGCTTCTCTGGCTGGAGGCTAGCTGACTTCTTGCCCTGGGCATGTCCCTCATTCTCTCCTCCCTCTTTTCTTGTTCTTCCTTTTTTCTTTCCTTCCTTCTCCAGAGCCTAGATCTCTCTTCTTATTTATTCTTTCTGCCTGCCAGCCCCGCCTATCCTTTCTCTGCCTAGCTATTGGCTGTTTAGCTCTTTATTAGACCAATCAGGTGCCTTAGGGAGGCCAGGTGAAACAAATGCACCACATCTTTACATAATGAAACAAATGCAGCGTAAGCAAAAGTAACACACCTTTACACAGTTAAAGTAATAGCCTGCAACACATGTAGCACATCTTTACCTCGTTCAAAGAATATTCCACAGCAGTGAGCGAATGGGAATAATCAAAGCAGTGTTTGTGAGTTAGAAAAAAAATGGGGCAGTTGGGAGAGCAAAGATGAAGCAGAAAGAATATATATATATTACAGAGGGAAGGGTGGGGGCAGGAGGAGGATGCACAGACCCTGAATCAGGGTACCCTGCTCTGATTGACAGGCCTCACCCATGACAAAGATGTGGAATCCCTCAGAACTGTAAGGTACTTTCCAACAGCAGGTTTCGTTCCCAGGCCCAGTTCTTCGCCTACATAAAGCTCAAGTTCATTTATTTTCTGCTGGAAAATATTCTACCTGGAGTTTGATTAAGTGGATTGCATGGAGGCTAGAGAGGTGGCTCAGCAATTAAGAATGTTTCCTGTTCTCCCACAGGACTTGAGTTCAATTCCTAGCATCCACCTAGGGTGGCTCCCAACAGCCTGTAACTCCAGCTCCAGGAGATCCAACACCTTCTTCTGAGACCTGTGGGCATTCAGTCACATACATAGCATCCCTGTTATACACAGAGAGAACTAAGTGTACGTGTGAGTTTGTCTGTGTCCATAAACCCCGTTCTAGTAAGAAGGCGGCTTCATGCGTTTCTGTCGTGCCTTCCAGAAAAGAATGTCTTGTTCACAGACATGTTACGTTCTTCACTGTAGACTGAAGAAAGGATGTAAGACTTTCATTTACAAGGACTGAGAGTGACGGAAAGGTTAAGGTTGGAGGTCAGTGCAAACACCATCCCTGTCACCTCTGGCCCAGGCAATGTGATCATTTTGCCCTGATAGTTGGGCAGGTGGAAACACCAGATACATTCTCACATTTGTCCACTATATCTAGATAGGACAAATTGCTTAGCTCCTCTGAGCTACATGTTAACACTGAAGCTCAACTTTGTCATCTGAAAACTAGGGATAGCATAAAAGAGAATATGAGAATAAATGAGAGATATCTATGAAATACTTGTACCTGTGCTACCGAGTTGTATTTCACGTAATGTAAGTTGGGTAGGAAATGGGAATCACCAGTTATTCTCCTTTTCCTGACTGTTGGCTTCCTCTCTCGTTCATTAGTCATGCATGAGTGGACATTCAATACTGAAGGAGTAACTTGATGAGTTGGTTCTCTTTGATGTGGTGGTGAGAACTTCTGTGATAAGAGAGTGGTACCCGGACTGCACCAGTGGTCGGTAGCAGTTGTGACACGCAGCTCATGTATAAGACAGAGTGGTACCCGGACTCCACTAGTGGTTGATAGCAGTTGTGACACGCAGCTCATGTATAAGACGGTCACAAAGAGGCCTGAGAATGGTCACCTTGAGGACAAGGCTCCGGGGAAATGGGTCCAGGTAAGAGGTGAGATGTACATCAATGGCAGTTGCCATGACTACCACTAGGCAACCCAGGGAATGGTCTCTGAACAGGATGTAGAGCTGCAGCTCGATCCTGGTGGGTAGAATCAGAGACCTCTCCCAGCAAACAGCCTCCTGGTGAAGGCTACGCTGCTAGTGACGACAACAGATGTTTTCTGATAGATGAAGGTGGTGGAGAGACCTCTGGCGACCTGCAGGAGCCTTTGGTGAGCCATGACCAGGGTGGGGACCGCTCAGGAGCAGGCTTCAGATGCCCTGGAAGCCAGTGTTTGAATCCGTCCTCAGTGGCCCCCGGCACTGGTGTCTCTTTGCTCCGACTATGTCAGGAATTTACAAATGCCAAGGAGGACAAGGCTGGCTTTTGAAAACTTATTTCTTTCATCGCCGCCCCCACTACCTGTTTCTCTGATTTTACAAAGCGACCCCAGAAGCTGTCATCATCCAGCCCCCTCGCTGGGCAGTGCCCACTCTGTAAAGGTAGTGTGCTCTCACTTTGAGTGCAGTACTGTGGGTGAAAACTGCGCACCAAAGCATGAACAGCTCCACTCCAGAGCTGTTGGCATTTCAAGAACATCTTGTGTCCTTGCGTCATTTCTGCTCTGATATTGTCCTGACCAAAAGCCACTGAAGAAAGGATTTCCTTGACTCCACAATACCTAGTTACAGTCCGTCATTTAGGAGAAGTCAAGGCAGGAATCAAGCAGCTAGTCACGTCATATCCGCATTCACGAGCAGAGAAAGAATAAATGTTCTTGCTTGCCTGGACAGCTTACCGCCTCTGCTTTTACAGAGTTCAGAGACCCCAGCCTAGGGAATGGTGTTGCTCACAGTGGGTTGGGTTTTCCTGCCTCAATGAACAATCAAGATAGTTCCTCCCAGACATACCATAGTCAAAATGGATCTAGGTCATTTCTCAATGATGACTCTTCCCAGGGGATTGTCGGTTGTGTCAAACTGACAGTTAATAACCAGCACACCTTGCTAAGGTTAACTGAAGGAAAGATTAAGATTAAGACTGAGGACAAGACTTCACAGTGCTGTCTTCAGAACTAGGCAATGGAAGGCTATCTTTAGCAGGGTGCTCTCCTTCCTAATGGAGAACCCTCATCACAGGAGAGGAGACTTGTTCTTGCAGCTGCTCCCAAGCCTACCAATCTACCCGTGCCTTTAGCCTCATCTTGTCCGAGGAGGCGGATGACTTGGGGTCCCAAGTCTTCTCCTCCGACCACCCTACTTAGTTCTTTCTTTTTTTGGCTCATTCTTCTCGATAAACAGCCTCAAAATATTTTTGAAGCATCAAATATACCATTTCCTCCCTGAAGACACACACCTGTCTTGGTCCTAATGCATACTTTCGTTGTAATGGGTTCCTGTTCTTTCCAGAACAGTCTTCTAGCTTACTCTTGTCCTGTTTGTCCCCAAACGTCTTCCACTTAAGCTCCACCTTCACTGCTCCACTCCAGTCGCCCACGCCAAGTACATCTTCATGTTACCACATCCAGTTGCCGGTCTCCGGTCCTGAGCTCCAGACCACTGACATTTGAGCAGCTGACCCCGTCTTTTCCACTGTTCTTTCGCTGTGAAGAGACACCATGACCAACTCTTATGAAAGAAAGCGTTTAACTGGGGGTGGCCTACAGTTTGAGGTTTAGTTCACTGCCATCATGGTGGGGCGCATGGCATTGTGGTGGCAGGTGTTGGTGCAATTGCTGAGAACTATGTCCTGATCCATAGTGAGGGAGAGAGAGGGAGAGAGGGAGAGGGAGGGGTGTGGGGGGGGGAGAAAGAGAGAGAGAGAGAGAGAGAGAGAGAGAGAGAGAGAGAGAGAGAACACATCTGGGCCTGGCTTGGGCTTTTGGAAACCTCAAAGCCCACCCACTGTGGCACACTTCTTCCAACAAGGTCTTGTAATCCCTCTAATTCTATCAAAGAGTTGTGCACCTTGGTGACCAAGCATTCAAATATATGAGCCTACGGGGCCACTCTTATTCAAACCATCACCACCTGCTTCCTGTTCAGGAGACACCTTTTCTGCTTGGTGTCTGAGAAACTTTCTTTTGATTTTCTTGTGTGTCTTCCGGGCTTGCTCACTAGATATTAGTCAGGTCCCTAGAGGGGCATCCCCAAAGGATCAGACAATGCATATTCTATTACACAATTTAGCTTGGGAGCCATGGAATGTCCCCACATCATAGTTATAGACTGTCCAGATTCAAAAGGAGAGACTCCATCTCACAACTGGGGAAACGCACTAAGGGAGGAGAGTGTGTGTGAGTGTGTGAGAGGCAAAGGTGAGCCCATGCTGTTTTTTTTTTTAACTCTTTTCTGATAAATGTTCCTAGAAATACTCTCTTTTTCCTTGACTTAATCTTACTCATAATGGGTTTTTGTTTGTTTGTTTTTTTGGTTTTGTTTGTTTGTTTGTTTGTTTTGAGATAGGGTTTCTCTATAGCGTTGGAGCCTCTCCTGGAACTAGCTCTTATAAATCAGGCTGGCCTTGAACTCACAAAGATCCGTCTGTCTCTGCCTCCCGAGTGCTGGGATTAAAGGTGTGCGCCACCACCGCTCGGGCGCTCATAAAGTTCTTTATAGCATGCAAGTGTTACATTAATATTTGTTAAGTAAGTGAAAACAAAAATCATGGTCACAACAAAGCATTTATCAAGAGTTTTCTGTGCTCGGCAACAAGTAAAACTTTTCAGCTTCCCAGTAACCAAGGAGAAAACCCGGGCTTAGAGCAGTCCACACAGCTGACCAGGGCTAGGGCTGAGACTGGAAGCCAGGTTGGCAGTCAACAGATGCAGGGAACTTCTTCAGGACACTTCAGGGTAGGGAGAAGGCAGACCCTGGCACCTGAGCTCCCCCCCCGACCTGGTCTTGGAGACAGCAGTTAGCATGCCCTGACCAAGGCTGCTATAGCAGCTTCAGAGGGCCCCAGAGCGTCTCTGAACATCCTTGCAGGGGTCTGGGTGTGCATGTCGGTGCCATTTGCTTTCCTCTCTCATTTCAGTCTGGGTGGCTGTCGATGCTATTTCTGTGGAAACTACACAGGATGTTCTTCGGGCAGCTCGAGGCAAGAGCGTCACTCTCCCGTGTACCTACAGCACCTCCGCTTCAGATCGAGACGGATTTATTCAGTGGGATAAGCTTCTCAGGACCGAAACGGTAAGACTCCAGAATGAACCAGGGTACCATGGGTCATGATTATCATGCCTTAAAAACTTCCTTCTGTCACATCACTCACTCCCTCTTTTCTGCTGTCTGGGTTGAGATTCAAATCCAGGGCTTTATGCATCTGATCCTGTACCGCTGAGCTATGGACTCCATGTCTTACTTCAAAATACATTTTATGAAGATATTCTATATATATGTATATATATCACTGATTTATTTCCTGTTTTGCTGCCACAATAAACACAAACATTGTTTTATATATATCATCCGATAGATTATGAAAAGTGGAACTTAGTTGCCTTGCATCACCAGGTTCTGAGACAAATAAAATACAAACAAACATGTAAGAGTGGATCGTCTGGGTTAAAGGGTGTGTGAACTTGCACTTTCTGTAATTAGGGCATTTCATGGGACACTTACCCATCCTCATCTTCACCCACAGTGTCCACTGTTTTCTCAGCATTCGCTCAAACTGTCTGACAATTGGGGATTTGATAAAGTCAAAAAATGTATCTCATCTGTGATCAAAAGCCTGTTTATAAGAAATGGCACATCCTTTCATACATTTAGGTCAGATCTTTCAAGATGTTAATGTGGGCAAGAGGGGTGCTGGAGGGCACCTGTAACCCCACAGCCTGGGGGTGAAGCCAGAAAGAGATCCCATTTGATTCCAGCCTCCCCACTTCCTCCTCCCGTTTCTCTTAAAAATTCTTTGACAAATAAAATAACTTTATTCTAGTGAACCTGCAAAGCCAGCGCACAGCTAGCTTAAGGCAGGCACTCAAATCCTTGCCCAGTCCCAAACTCTGTACATCTCAGTGAACTTCTGTACAGTAGGGATGACCACATAGAAGTCACAGAACTTTGCTTTGGGTTTTACACTCTAACTACCAATTACATTTGGATTTATTTATTATCTTAGTCAGGATTCTTTTGCTTTGATAAAGCACCAGGACCAAAAACAACTTGGAGAGGAAAGGTTTATCTCACTTACCCTTCGGTTCATCCTCAAAGAAAGTCAGGGCAAGAACTCAAGATGGGATCCTGGGGGCAGGAGCTCCAGACAGGAACCTGGGGGAGGAACTGAAGCAGAAGCCACGGAGGAGAACTGCTTGCTGTTTGTTCCTCGTGGCTTCCTCGGCCTGCGTTCTTATAGCACCCAGGGCTACATAACAGCCCAGGGTGGCCCTGCCCACATCAGTCATCAACCAAGAAAATGCACTACAGAATCTTACGGAGACATTTTCTCAACTGAGAGTCCCTCTTCCTGGTGACTCTAGCCTGTGTCAGGTTGACATAAACCTAACCAACACACTTATCAACTACAGATAAGGGAAAAAAAACTATGATAAAGTTGAAATTAAGGGAAAATTAGCTTTACATTGTGTGTCCTTTTGCCTGCATTCTGTCCTTCCCCATTACCTTCTGCTCCTCTCCCTTGGTCTCCTTTAGGGGAAAAACTTCCTAACGTATCTGCCAGAGAAAATCCCCCACCCCCAGCCATCCAGAGAAAGAGGCTTTAGCCTTCTCCCTGACAGAATCCCAGGACACCTGCATCCTGGATGGCGGGACTGATAAGGAAGGAGTCCGTCTTATCTCCACGCACCAAGGGTCCCGATGGCCACAGTCCCCATCCTGCCTGCTCCCAGGGTGAAAGAGCAGCGTCCTTGCTGCTGTTTTAGTGTGAGGAACTAAAGGGCACCGTGCCCCCCAGCAGATGGCGTGTGATGTCTATGGCTGACTTATTCTGCTTGCTGACGTAGACAGGGAGCTTGTTCATTAGCCACTGGATAGTCTGCTTCCACAAGGAATCGAGGCAGCTCCTTCGGGACCAGTAACAAGTGCAGAGCAAGGGATTGCTATCTGAGAGTCCTAGAAAGTGGTATGGTCAAAAAGAGGCCCAGGGACAATCTTAGGGTATCATTGATAAGATGGTACTATGGGGTGGAAAACCCAGACAGTGCCAGTCAGGGTCAGGAAAGAGCTGGGCATCTATGGACAGTTCACGGGCTTAGACGGCACCTCATCCTCTCTCTTCTCTTCACCTCCCTGTCTCAGTCAGACATTCTAGAAGGGCTGTCAATCCTATCAGGGCTATCAGGTAGGGTTGGACAACTCGTGTCTTGCACGAGGGCGTCCAGCTGAGGGCACTTGTGTTCCGATAGCTAAGCCATGTGCCCTGACTTGGACTGTGTCTGTTGGAAAGCCGGAGTGTCTTGTTCTAATTGGAAAGACTCGGCATGTTCAGAACTGAGATTGGCACGGTGTCGCCAGTCTCCTCCCTGCCCACCACTACCCACTTTCTCTCCTAACACTCTTGAAGTCACCAGCATCTCACACGGGCAACCGCTTCCCATTCCGGAGTCCCGTCTCCCTTGGCTCTTGGGGGATCTTGGCTTGGCGATCCCCTTTACCTCTCTGAGCTCTTCTTGATTCTTTGAGTGACTTGGGCACTCGCCATTTGTCATGTCTAGCCCATGTCTCAGTAAACACCCATGTGCACTGGCACCCAAACTTTCATCCTCAGATGAATTACCAACTGAAAGTTTCTCCGTAGTTCAGTTCTCAAAAGAAAGAATTCCACGAAGAAACATATACAGTCAAAGCAGTTTATTTAGCAAGGCAAAGCTTGCACCCCAAGGAGAGACTGGCGTGGACTGACTTTAATGGGGAGAGGATGGCAGCCCACTGGGTTCTGCATATAGACATGGAACAGTTTATGAATATCTAAGAGGTGAGCCACCTATTCACTGGGACAATATGATCCCCTTTTCCTCTCATATCACAGTGGACTGAATTTTGCTTTTACAGTAATTTTTCTTATGATTCTTTTAAAAAGCCCAGAAAGTGGGGGGGGGGGGGTGTCAGACCCACAGTGTACATGATGTAATAATGAAGCTGGGGTCATTTGAGGATGCAGGCCCCTCAGAAGTGTGCATGGGGGACAAGAAAGAGCTCTGGTACCTTAGTTTCTGACACATCAAGAGGAACTAACTGCATCTTCCAGTTTGCTTAACCACAAAGAGGCAGGAGACACAGCTACCATGATATCACGTGGTTTCCTTGAGTCCTCACGTCTAACTCCTTACCTATCATCAGTGACATTCAGCCGACCATTCTGGCCATATTGAATTCCTCCACCTGGATGTTCCCCAGATACTTTAGGCATCCCACATGTAGACAGAACACATACTCTTTGCTGTCTGTTTTTAGGTTTTTCCTTTACCTGTAACGCCTAATGCGTTTACCCTGCACCAGTATGCAGTGCTCCCGTCTCCCGGTTATTGACCTGGATGATGCACAGCTGCCTTTTAAGCTTCAAGGCAATGATCACCCCTTTTAGGAAATCCTCCCTCAACGGGCCAGTTTCAAATCTCATAATCATAAGATACCGTGGTTGGCTATTCAGAATTCACGAGTTATATGCTGCAGACGTGGTGGAGGCTAATAATGGCTAACAATGGTAGACACCACCCCTGGCAAACTCCAGCTGCTCTCTATAGATTACCAGCTTTAGTCTCACCACAATTTCATGAGGTGTGTTATTATCGGCATCTCCACTTTGTAGGCGAGGAAACGGGCTTAGAGCAGTCAAGGGTGCTGGTCAGGACTTTCAGCCAGCAAGCATCAGAGTTAGGATTTGACGGAGGCAATCTGGCTTGGCCATCTGTGGTATAAGTCACTAGTGTGCTGCTTCCAAACATCAACGAATAAACAAATTCCGAGACAATAGTCAAAATGAAGTAAGCTTGGAATTTGAGAGCAAATTACCTAGCCTGGTGCCTGGTGTGAGCGGTGTTCAGAAAGTGTTGGGTGAAGCAAGGAAGGAGTGAGAATAAACGATGGACCAAGAGGAAATCAAGGAGTGAGATGCTGGCTCCAAACCCAAGTGCTGGGCTCTGAGACAGCCTCGTTTACTGCAAGTATTCCAGGGTGTGTGCTTTTGTGTTGGTTTTGTTTTTGATTTGAGTTAGGGTTTCACATTGGCTTAGATTGGTTTAGAACTTGCTCATACCGAGGGTGACTTTGAACTTCTTCTTGTTTCCACCCCTGGAATGCTGGGATGATTGGCCTATACCACCACCTCAAGTTTACCCATATGGTGCTGGGGATCAAATCCAGGTCTCTGTGTGTGTTCTAGGTAAGCACTACCAACTTAAACTACAACTCCAGCCCCTAACATTTTCATTTAAATCTTTAAAGTCTAGGATTTGCTAGTTAAGAATCTGCCAGAAGGCACTGCACATCTGTTTGAGATACTGTTGGTCGATACATCTGGGCTCTGGGGATGAAAGGTTGGGTCAGGGCAGGTCTATGCCAGCACCTGACAACATTTCTTCTTTCTCTTAGGAAAGAGTAGTCACTTGGAAGTTTTTGAATAAACAGTACATCTATGGGAGCCGTTATGAGAACCGTGTGCTAATGTCCAGTGATGTTGACCGCTCAGATGCCTCTATCACCATCGACCAGCTGACCATGGACGACAATGGCACCTACGAGTGCTCCGTCTCCCTGTTGTCAGATCTGGATGGTACCTCCAGGTCTCGAGTCCGCCTCTTAGTCCTCGGTGAGTGTCCCCATCTTTTCCTGCAGGAGAAGGGTGTGGATAAGAGCCCTGGCAGCAGCATCCAGCCATAAATTCAGGTGCAACAGGGCTTGATCATCAGCCCTGTGTTGTATCGGCCTTGCCTATCTCAGAGCAGAGTCAGGATTCCGCGTCTCCCTTTGGAGCCCAATATTGACAGGGTTCTCAGTGAACAGCAGGCTGGGTCTGAGGGCAGGGGCTTTGGGGTCATCCCTTGTCCCTCTGCCCTTTCTCCCCTTCACACCAACTTTTTCCCTGCCAAACTCATTTCTGAAGAGAAGGGAAGGGAACTCCCACATAACACGCAGGTTCTCATCTCAGTACTTGCCACTCAGAGGGCTGATTGTGACTTTCATAGGCGATGGGTTTCCCCGCTGTTAATTCAACTTCTCTCTGCAGTCTCCCTACCCTACCACTAATGAAGGCATCATCGCCAACCAATGGGGAATATATCTGAAGGGTCATCATTTTCACGGGAGAATTTGTTGGAATTTATAGTTTTGGAAGGATCTGGAAACTCATATGCTTTAGTTTCTGCGTAAACGAGGCCCAGAGAAAGGAAGTAATTGAGTCAAAAGCGGTTATTGGGTTTTGACTCACTTTAGTGAGAACCTGGTCTATGTCCAGTATAAGAAATGGCCCCACTCCCGGGAGGTAGCCACTGTGTGTGAGAACAATGGGTCCTTTCTGTCTTTTTCCCCTCTACACTGCTTGGCAGACTTTCTTTTAAATTGTGTGTGGTAGTTGCCGGACTTACAGAAAGCATTATAGTGTGTCAGAATATACAGCAACCCACACTAATGCTGCGTAAAGCGTAATTGAGACCTCTTCCCACACTGCCACTCGGAGGCAGCCAATGGTAATGCAGCCAGGCGTCTTAGAGGTCTCCCGTGTTCCTTCCTTCCTCTGCCTGTTGAAGAAATGGGGTGATTTACCTCCACACGGTGCTCCAGGCAAGCACACTCAGACCTACTGCCAGAGAGCACATCTGGTCTCATGACTGCACGATGTCTTACTCAAGGGTTTCACACTGAGGGTTATTGGGACAGGTTTCATTGTTTGCTCATTTATTTTGTTGTTGTTGTTTGGTTTTTTTCCCCACAAGCAATACTACAATATACCCCACTACCTCACTTTGTGTGTGTGTATAAATATATATAATTATACATAATATATATATGGATCGTGTATACACGGACACATATAAAGTTTGCGTTCTTTAAATAACTGTCCTGCCTTTTTGACAGAGGATTTCAGCGAGTCGAAAGGGAAGTGGAAGGAGCCCGTATACATCTGAAGTCTGGTTCTGCTGGTTCTCCTGCCTTACACTAAGGACCAGCTACTTCTAAAGAGGAAGGAGACAAGTTTAATCAGATAATATGGAATTCATAGAAACCAATCTTTCACTGTTTTTTTTTTAATCCAACATGCTAATTAAAACCCAGTGAGATTCTTTGTGGAAAGTTTTCTTTCTCTGTGTCTTTATAGCCGTATGCTTTTTTAAAGGAGAAAGGCTATAATTATACGGGGCGGCTTATTTTGGGCAGTCTAGCAGGAAGCCCCCCAGCCTTAGTCTCTGGGAGCTAGCCTTGTCTAACTCACCTTCAGGAAGCTGCGAAGCCAGTTTTAGCAGCCTGTGCGTCAGGTGGAATCCTTGCTCTGGCCTCTGGCGCCCCCTGACGTCCTTAAGAGAGGACAACCGGCATCGGAGAGGATTCGAAGCCTAACACATTCGCTTCCATCCTCTACGGCCACTCTCAAAGTAAATACACAGGTAACACCTACAATGCTGCTTGTGAACCAGGCTGTGTGAGAACAAGATACCCTCCCCCGTCAGTACTCTTAGCCCCCTCACGTGGGGCTCTTTAAACTAGATATGATTCGAGGTCCCCGCTGTTTGTGATTGGCACGCCGGCGATCTTGAGAAGGAGGGTAGGGGCACGCCTGGGATGGGGTCAGGCAGGAAGTTTAGGGCCTGTGGTCAGGAGCCTGGAGCAAAAGATCTCAACACAGTCCCCCTGAAAAGCAGATCACCCTTGCTGGCCATCACCGCCGCTTCCTCCCGTGGGCAGTTAGTTTGTGGAGTTCCTGCTCCTTGCATTCCTTGACAAGGAGTGGAGTAAGCAATCTAGTTTTCCACCACGGACATTTATTTGCTTTTTGCGCTTCGGCAGTTAGTCTCCAGAACTCTACTTCCTGCTTCTGTCCTGTATCCCGCCCCCTCCGCCCCGCCCCCGCAGGGAGTTCCACTGCCTCTCCACCGCTTAATCTGATGGGGCGCCTGGGAGTTTGCCGCTGAGCCTCCTGCTAAAGGCTAAAGGCAGGTCTGAGGCTGGCTAGGTAAGGGCACTGCAGGGTCCCGCTGTGGGGCCCAGGAGAGAAAGCAGAGCCCAGCAGGAGTACCCAGAGGATAAATCCACCTCCACAGCACCCCCAGGGCTGCTTGCTGGGCCAGCAGGATGGGCAGGAGACTGACAGTTAGCCAGCTGCTGGCAGGCACTCTGCCCACCTGCTCTTTGATCCTCAGAAGCCTGGGTTTTGTTTGGCAATAAGGGAGTGCCTCTAATGTGTCTGGTGGGTCCGTACCTGGCTGGCCCAGCTGTGTTAGCAGATGTCAGGCATTAATAATAGCCGGCCTGTTTCCAAGAAGAAAATCTGCAACTGCCGGACTGGAAGAGAGAGGGAGGAGAGTCAGGGACTGTTCTTCCAGCAACTTCCAGGTGGACTAAGGCTGCTATTAACCCTCAGGATGGGTGGCTGAAGCAAGCTAGCCAAGAGGGCATGTGATGAAAGTAGAGGAGACAGGCCACTACCCAAGGACATCAGTGACAACTTTCCCCACTGTGTGTTCTCCCTTCCTCATCCCTAGAGATGTCTCCTGAAGTCTCATGGATACTTCCTGTTTCCCCTGTCCAGCACACTCATCTCTGCTTTAATCCCTGCCACTACCTTCGCCGAGGTGACCTTCAGGTCACAGCCCATATGCTGTCTCGGATCATTGTTTTCTGCCCCAGCAGTCTTGTCCCCTGCTCTGTCATTGTTTGTCTTTTGTCCCCTATTGAACTCCTTGACCCACTTGGAGTGTCACCCCAGTGCCCAGCATTGTTGGGCAGAACCAGGCTACCTAATAACATTTAAAGAACCACCCCACGCCCCTCAATGTGACCTTAACAAGGCTGAGGAGAGACACAGGCTTAGAATCTCAAGAAGCCAGGGGGACCAAGGACAGATGGTTGGCAGCGGTTGCTGGGGTTCATGAACATTCCCGACGGCATGCCTTTGATCCCTTCGGGCCCCTTCCATCTCTTCAACCTCATTCGCCACCCAGCAGGAAGGTCTGCGCTGCCTGGGGTCCCTCTTTCTCTTTAGCCACTTGTGCTGATCCAATTTATCAGCAAAGCAGGGGGAGAGGGCCGTGGTAGACCCGCAGAAGACGGCCTGAAGGAGCCGCAGCTGAGGGCTACAGAGATCTGTAAACCTAGTGTGAGGAAACCCCCGGCGCCCTCCAGCCCATAGCCCGCCCCACCCTTTTGGTTTTAAAACAGTATTAAAACCAGAAAATGAAAGGGGGAGGGAGAAGGTCTCCAGAGGGAAGGGCGGGGGGGGGGCGGGTAAACATGATCAAAATAAATTTGCATACATGTATGGAATTTTCAAAGAATAAAAAAATATTATACGCCTACCCCCTCCCTCTAAAGAAAAGACAGCATTGGCAATAGTATTGTGGTCTACCGAGCCTACAATTCCCTTAAGGTCCTTTACAGGACAGTCTTGCTGTCCCCTAACTTTAGAGATCAGGAACACTATGATCTCTGCCAAGTCAACAGCAGAGAGAGCTCGTGTGGGTCAGTAGAGCAAGCCCTGGGTCTGGACTGGAAGAGAGATACCTGGGTTCTAGTCCCACCTCCGCTAGGACCCGAGAACAAATGTCCCTTCTGTGCTCCATGGCCCCCATCTGTATAATGGCTATGTTGGGCATGCTCAAACTCCCACAATTCCAGAGAGCACGAGAAACCACTACCAACCAGCCTGTCAAGGATACTATTTACCTTGGATGGTTTGTTTGCCAACAAACTCTCCATGACCCCAGTGACTTATGAAACCAAGGTGATTCTACTGAAGCTCTGCTCGGAGAACCCATGATAGCGTTGAGTTGCATGCAAAGCTTCTTCACAGCTGTATAGACGGACAATGCCCCCTTCACTTCGCCTTCCACAGTCCATATACACTATAATGCTAGCACCTCCCGAGACAAGACATGAACAATTCAGGCAGAATTACTTACAGACGGTCACTGGTGCATGACCGAGTGGCTGGAAGCTCAGGCGAGAGTTCAACAGCCTCCTCAGCCTCTCCTCCCCTGAGGACGTATTAGCAGCCCACAAGCCTGGGCTTGAGGGTCCCTGGTATGTGGTCAGTCACAGCTTCTCTGATGAAGTTGACGCTGTTAGGCTGGGAAGGGCGCGCTATACGACGCAATCTCTGGTGCTGCCCATTTGAGAGCGTGAGATGACCGCGGACCTTCCGGGGGGGGGGGGGGAGTTAACTTTATAACATTAAATCTCACCTCTAGGCTATAAGTTTCTGCCTGCCTCTGCGTGTGCGGTGGGAGAGATGGGTTGATAGCTATTGGGGCGGGCAGTGACTGTCCCCATGCCATTCACGCCTCTCTTGCGCTCTCTTTCCCTCACAGTTCCACCCTCCAAGCCAGACTGCAGCATCATAGGGGAGACAGTGATTGGGAACAACATCAATCTGACATGCCGGTCTGCAGAGGGCTCTCCGAGCCCACAGTACAGCTGGAAGAGCTACAATGCCCAGAACCAGGAGCGGCCACTCACCCAACCAGGTGACGGGGACAACAGGGAAGGCGGCTGTGCTCCACATATGGGTGCATCTGACTAGCCAGGGCTACCAGAGGAGACAGAGGCTGACCAAGCAATCCAAGCACCATTTCCCCAGACCCGCCCTTGTGCCTTCTTGTGCCGTTGCTCAAAGCATTTGTTTCCCATATGAATACCTACGCATCTCACAGCTACCAAAGACAGAAGTGACATCTCTTCTATTCTTCCCACCCCTGCCTCGATTCTCCCGAGGAAGTGTGTCCTGCTAAGCATTCTGTGCAGAAACACTGGGGCTTGCTCTTTGAAGCGTTATTATGGCCTACAGTCCACTTTTGAGGTGGGGGGGGTTTTCTAGTCCCCTTTCCTATCCAGGGCAGTCCATCTCAGACACCACAAACACCATAGACGGTTAGGACCCCCATTCTCAGAGCAGGCTATGGCAGACTTAGCCAGAGTTGCCTGGAGACCCGTTTTGTACAGGGCAGCCAATATTTGACCTTTTGGTCAGGAAACAAACTAGAAGGAGGAAAAGGAAGAGGCTTAGTGGCCAGGAAAGGAAGAAAGGGGGAGGAAGAGGAGAAGGGGCGGAGCTGGAACCGTGTAAACACTCTCCTGCCATTCCGTCCACCTGTGTGTGGAAAGCCCCTGGGCTCTCCACGGCCATGGCTACCCCAGCGATCTCAGACAGGAACAGAAAGGCCCGGAAGATGCCTCTAAGGTTTAGCCTTGAGGTCTTTCAGTCCTGTGTGTGTATGGAAATGGAACAGAGAGCTGAGAGTAAAGCCTGTGGGTAGACATTGTACTTGGCTTTTTCTTTGGGCCACCAGCTCAATAATAAGAAAATTTATTATTAAAGTACGAAAGCTTGGCCTTAGCCTGAGCTTGTTCTCAACTAGCTCTTATAATTTAAGTTAGCCCACTTATATTCATCTGTGTTCTGCCATCCGGCGTCACCTTTCTGCTCAGTGGGGCACATCCGACTTGCTCAGAGTCTGCTGGCGAAATTTGCACATCCATGTTTCTTCTCTTCCTCTCTCTCTCCCTGGAAATTATGCCTATCTCTCCTGCCTAGTGATTGGCCATTCAGCTCTTTACTAGACCAATCAGAAGATGCTTTAGGCAGAGACACATTACAGTGTAAACGACACTGGACAACAGGACACACCTGTTTTGAGAAGCTGACCCGAAGGAGGGGAGGTTACAAGTTCGTAGTTGGGCAGGTGGTGGTGGTGTGTGCCTTTAATTCCAGCACTTGGGAGGCTGAGGCAGGTGGATCTCTGTGAGTTCAAGGCCAGCCTGGTTTACAGAGTGAGTTCTGGAACAGCCAGGGCTATGCAGAGAAACCTTGTCTTAAAACAACAAAACCCCACAAAAAACCAAAACAAACAACAATAACAAAAAAAAAACAACATCAAAATCAAAGTTAGTAGAACTCATTTGACTTATGGTAAAAGATGATGCAATATGAATCCCACAGGCTTCCAGCTTTGCTGGCGTGTTTCTGGTTGCTGCTTTTAAAAACATGTTTAAAATTGCACTTTCAGTGTATGCATTGTATATATGCGCAAGCACACCACAGTGAGAGGTCAGAGGGCAACCCACGGGGGCCGATTCTTTCCCATCATGTGAATCCCAGGGTCTGAACCTGGACTCAGGTTGTCCCAATTGGCAGCAGGTGCTTTTACCCAAAGAGTCATCTCACCTGGCCCTGGAGTGCAAGGTTTTGAATGTCTGGATCTTTGTTGAAATCACCTGGCAGGTGTCCTCAAACTCTGTAGTCTCCTGGCTCTACCCTTGCTTCTCGCTATTCGTGGTTTGAGAGCATAACCAAGTGTCCTCCAGCAAAGTGTGCACAGTGGGGTCCGGGGCTGAAGGTGATGAGGTCACGAACTGCAGTGACTGACATACAGTGCTGTGTGACCTAGTGCTTAAGAGCAGCCAGGGACTCGAATCCTGGCCGTGCTACTTGTTATGTGCCTTTGTCTCCACATCTGTCAAATGGGCACAGCACCAGTGTTCAGCTCGTGCTGTTGCTGTGAAGGGAGACCCAAAGTCCAAGTACCAAGATCAGTGCTGTGGGTAGTGCAGGACTCAGTCAACTCTAGGTATTGTTAGCTATGCTCAGCACGCCCTTCAGGGTAAAAACCAGCATGGGACCCATGGCATGAATGTGGCTGCGGGGTAGGATGCGTGTTGTTGCAGAGTTGATATGAGAGGCTGTTGATGGGAAAGATAGGAGAGTTGGAGAGGGGCCTGGGTGTCAGTCTAGGAGGTCAGACTTTTCTCTGTAAGCACTGGGCTCCTCCAAGAAGCCTCACAAATGCCCACCTCCATCCCAAGAAGTTGTTAGGGACCAAAACTTCGTTTCTTTACTGACCGAAAGTGGGTGAATCCTGAGGGCGTGGAAGGAGTTTAAAGGAAGATTTGCTTCTCTGCTTTATTCAGCTCTAAGCTCAGATTTTCTCTGTCAGAACTCAGGCCTGGAGTACCCGCCAAGAAGATGGCGGCTGCAGTAAGATATCTTGATGAGAGCAGCTGGCCACATTGCATATGCAGTCAGGAAGGAGAGAGATGCACAGATGTTCTCCCTTTATTCAACCTCGGATTCCAGCCCGGGGACGGCTGCCCACAGCTAAGTGGATCTTCCCATTGTAATTAATTTAACCTAGACTGCTCCACACAACCATGCCCGAGGCCGACTTGATCTGGCATCCTTCACTGGCATGCCCAGAATCTTATCTGCTAGGTGATTTTGATTCAGACTGGCAGTATTAACCACGGGCGTGGTGATCACCATGCCCTCTTGTGTCTGGACAATGTGATGGAGGCAGTGGGACATTCGCAAGGCCTCTTGTTCATAGAGTGCCCTACAGAGAGCCCGAGAGTCCTGCTGTAACTTTGCAGCTGTAAGTCACCCACAAGTTCTCCCATCCGAAAAACAAACAGACAAACAAAAACCACAGAACAACAACAACACATCGTAACCAAAGCTGAGATGGTGCTATTATCTTCCTTGGAGGAAGAGGCGGTCTCCCGCAGGAGGGCTCTGAAGATGTTTGAGGAACTGTGCTCCAACGATTGAGTTTCAGGAGGGAAGGACCAGGAATGTGGACGTTAAGGAAGGAGACCGGAACACTTTAGGGGAAGAGGTCGTGGGGACAGTGATGGGTCCACCCCAGACCCTGGGATGAGATGTGGTATCCAGAGCTTACTGACCAGCCTTGGTGGGAGGGGACAGAAAGAGCAAATCTTACCAATTCAACATCAATATCTTAGGGTGGTCAGGGCTTCAGCTGAGGACAGATGTCTGTCATGCATTTCCTATGCTGACCACAAGATGTCGCCACAAACAACAGAAAACTGGGTTTCAGAAACTAGCTGACTCTTTCCAAAAGGGAAGGAAACTGGGATCCCCAATTCAATCAAAGCCAATTGGTGGCATGGGGTGACTGCTATTTCATCCAGAGAAGTTTCTAGAACCCATTGTTTGCTTCAGAGACTAGGGGAAGAATGGAGTTGGCTCATACATCAAGACCCCCAGGATTCACCCTAAGCACAACCTAGAGTTGCCCTAGGGTGCTGTGGACACCTGATTCACAGAGCAGTACACTTTCAAGCGGAATCTGATGCAAGCACAAGGCCTCCTAAACACACCTGGTGTCACAGAGCATTCTGTAAAGTGTGTTTCTTCACAATTCTCTTAAGAATAAGTCCAACAGGGTCAGAGAACAGGAATGTTAATACTCTGGACCCCAACCCGGGGTGCCCATTGCTCCCAGGCATGGTAAAACACCTGTAGGCCACACCCTTAAGCTTCACAACCGCAGAGATTTCCACACTTGCTGTGTTTGCAGACACATCTCCAGAATCACATGTAAATATCACACGTAAGGGATATACCAGAAAACACCCAGGAGCGGGCTTCTAGAATCCCAAGGCTGTCACATTTTATAGAGAATAGTGCCTTGGGCTCTAAGGGAAGAATATGAAATAGGTAGTGTACTTTTGACAAGAAGAGAGGAAAATAAAACCAATGAGCTGCAATTCAGGATGATTGTATCTTATTCTCGCTCCTGTTAGAGGCTTCCTCTGAGCCCCCAGACAAGAGTAAACCCCTTCACCATGAGTTCAGATACAACTTCCATCTTGAACTGTAACTGCTCATAGCCCCACCATTGTTTCATGTGCGTCTTCCTTTGTCGGTCAGAGACGCCAAAGGATAGAGAGTCTCCTCACTTTGTTTGGAGCCGTGATTGGAATGTAGATGTTTTTGGTTTGGAGTGAATTAACATGACAGTTTTATGTCATATATAAATTCTTTCCATAGGCATACATTGCAAAGATGTTTTTAAAGCATCTGTTTACTTATTATTAGTGTGTATGCATGTGTATGCACATGTACATAGCAGTAGGAAGGGCAGAGGACACCTCCCAGAAGCCAGTTCTCTCCTCCTCCTGGGAAATTCGAATTCGGGGTACTGGCATGGCAATACCTCCAATTAAGGATGTTGGGAGACGGAAACAATGTGATACTGAGACACCGTATGACACAGTAATTCCAGAACATGGAGGAAGGACCCTGTGTGGGCTGCCCTTGGCTTTGCACATGTGCATCAAGAGATAAAACTGGCGCGGTTGCAGCATCAGATCTGTAGCTTTGTCATCATATTAGAAGCTCAGAATTCAGGGCTTGAGGGGGGTAGCACAGTCAGTAAAATGCTTGCAGTGAAATTATGAGGACCTGGGTTTGATCCTCAGCAACCACATACAAGCGGGTCACGGCAGCACCTGCCTGTAACCCCAGCCCTGGGAAGGCAGCGACAGGATTCTCCAGGGTTCACAGAACACCCATCAAGCAGTGGAATCGGTGAGCTCTGGGTTTATCAAGAAACCTGATCTCAAAAAGTAAGATAAGAAGAAGATTGAAGACACCTGATGTTAACTTCTGGCCTCCACATGTGTATACATATGTGCATGTATACTTACACGCACACACACATGCACACACATGTGAGCTGGCTACTGAAGATTAGAGACAGCTTCTGAAATGTCTACAGGTCTGTAGTAGGTCTCTCTTGATGACTTAGAACACACCCTGGGGGTGGTTGCACGGTCCTGAAGACAGCCAATGGCAGCCGGGTCCTGATGAGACTGACATTGCAGTCCTGACAAAGGCCTTTGGGAGCAGGACACACGTCTAGGCTGTCTAGGTACTAACCCATGGAACTGTGGACTCAGGGAGAGATCTCTTGTGAGGATATCTGTTCCACGTCCTCGGGCTCTACGTGGGCTGTTTTCACTCTCACTCCCCGATGAGGCAGCTGTGGCTGAAGAATTGTTGGCTAGAGTGGTGATGGGTGAGGAGGAAGCATTTAAACTGACACTGTCCCCTAACTCACACAACGCTCCCCAATACCTGTATCCATACCCCACACCACACACATCACATATGCGTGTTCCCTTTAATACGCATCTATGTTTCCCAAGTCCCGACTGCACATCGGACATTCTACTGGGCGCTTGTATTTATTATTGATACCTCATTCCAGGCTCACAAGTACCTTGCCAGGCAGGTATTATCATTTCTAATTATAGATGAAAAAAGACGGCCAAGTTACTTACCAAATACATCAACTAAGTGGGCAAAGCCAGACTCGACACCTAGGGTCCTGACTGGATCTGAAGTCCTTCAGTATGGTCCCGCCTGCCATATTGATCCCCCAGTGGCCTTAGAGGTCTTTCTTCCTACATCACATATCAGCTTGGCTAGTTCAGAGGGACTCAGGCCTCCTAGCCTTGGACCGTGCACACTCCACCCTAACACCATATATTTTTTTTAATTGAGCTTTACATTTTTCTCTGCTCCCCTCCCTACCTCTCCCCTCTCCTTCAACCCTCTCCCAAGGTTCCCATGCTCCCAATTTACTCAGGAGATCTTGTCTTTTTCTACTACCCATGTAGATTAGATCTATGTGTGTCTCTCTGAGGGTCCTCATTGTTGTCTAGGTTCTCTGGGATTGTGATTTGTGGGCTGGTTTTCTTTGCTTTATCTTACACCTGTAAGAATGGCTGAGATCAAAAACACCGATGACAACTTGTGCTGGAGAGGTTGTGGGGAAAGGGAACACTTCTACATTGCTGGTGGGAATGCAAGCTGGAAGAGCCCCTTTGGATGTCAGTGTGGTGATTTCTCAAAAAATTAGGAAACAAACTTCCTCAAGACCCAGTAATACCACTTTTGGGTCTATATCCAAAGGATACTCAATTGTGCCACAAAGACATGTGCTCAATTCTATTCATAGCAGCATTGTTTGTCATAGCCAGAACCTGGAAACAACCTAAATGCCCTTTGACCTGACACCATCTCTTCACCCTGCCGCTCTTCCTTCAGCCTCAGGCCAGCCATTGCTCTTGAAGAACCTCACCACGGAAATGGCGGGCTACTACATCTGCACCTCCAGCAACGAAGTGGGAGTGGAGTCCTGCAACATCACGGTGGCTCCCAGACAGCGTAAGAGCAGGGTGGGGAGGGGAGGGTGCGAGGCCCAGCGGTGGCTGATGGAGGTGAACGAGCTGGCTGCTGTCACCCTGGACAGATGACTCCTGGCCCAGGCTTTCCTCTCGCTGAGGTCAGCCCAGCTCCTCCCGTTCTTTGGAATAGAGCCTGGGACAGACTTCTGGAGACATCTTCAGCCATGCCTGTCTTGTGGGCCCCTCAGAGAGTGTGAGAAACGTGCTTAGAACCCATTGCCTTGGTCCAAACCCTAGTCTCTTTCTGTGGGGAGAAGGGAGACCACAGCTACTTCAAACGTCAGCTGACAGCTGGCGTAGCTAACACTAAGGGTCTCTGTAGAGCCTGAGGAGCCCTGTATCAGGTCTTTCTCTCCTCGCTTGCTCCTCTGTCCTTAAGAGTGTCCTTAGATCTGTCTAACCACAATCTTCCAGGGCCATGACCTTTGCAGAGTGTTACCAGAGGTCTGTAGCCACTGTTCCCCAGGCTGGTAGAAGAGCTGGTTCTCCAGAGGCTGGGAGGGACCCGCCTGCTGTGCCCTGCACCAGTCTGTGGTTCCTCACCTCTAGCCTGGCTTTCTCCTCTGTTGCCAGGGGTTGACTCGGGGGGTGAGGGGCTAGAGTTGGGGCTCAGGAGGTACAGCTGCTCCATCCTCTCGTAGCTTCCATGAACATTGCGCTGTATGCGGGCATTGCGGGAGGTGTGTTTGTGGCCCTCATCATCATTGGCATCATCGTCTACTGCTGCTGCTGCCGGGACAAGGATGAAAAGGCCGAGGAGGAGGACGCAAGGCCGTAAGTGTGCGGGTCAGGGGGCCCCTTGGAAAGAGGCAGAGGGAAATAGACATCCCAACTCCTTGGGTACCCCCACTCAGCCCCCCCGGAGACGCTGGTGCTTCAGTCTTCCCTAGTCGCAATTGGGGAATGAGCAGCTCACCCACATCAAGGGCGGACCTCAGTCCTGCCCTTGTCCCCCACACTTTGATCTCTAGCAGGCCTTCTCGTGGCAAGGCAAGGGTCAGGTCTAGGCTGAAACACACACACTGCTCCCACAGTCTCTTCAGCCCACCAGTGGAGTATTCTTGTGAGATCTCACTGTGCACCCCTAAAGCAGGCCTGCAGCACCAAGTCCCTTTGCCGCTCTTGGGTGGGGATGATGGCTGGACCAGTTTACCCCCGGCCCCTCACCGCCATGAGGGTTAACCTTCTCTTCTTCCTCCATTGCCCTCTAGGAACCGAGCTGCTTACCAAGAGCCTCAAGAGAAGCGAACAGAAGTTTCCAGAGAGAGGGAAGACAAAGATAACTACAGGAATGATGACCGGAGGAGCTCAGGGCATAGCTCTCTAGACCAGCCCTTCAAGTGAAGGGGCCTGTTGCCCAGTGGAGAGGAGGCTAGGCTCCAGTCTCCTGCTTCTGGCCCCTTTTTCTTTCTAACCCCGTAATCTTGCCCCTTCCCAGCCATTGGCGGAATGCATCTTCGTGTGTGTGTGTGTGTGTGTGTGTGTGTGTGTGTGTGTGTGTGTGTGGTTTGGGGAGCATCACTGGCCTGTCCTACCTGTTACCCTAACCACCACACTGAAAGGACCCTTGCCTTCTCCCTGGACCAGACAGTACCCTCTGCCTCCCTTGTGGTTGGCAGGGGCTTGGGGAAGCTCAGCACTGAGCAGGGGCTGCTTCTGTTCAGAGCTCCTCATGCAGGCAGTGCCAGCTTCAGAGGGTGGGGTCTGCCCTGCCCACCATGCCCAGCACTCATGGGGAACCTGGGGATGGTCTTGCACTCAATATTTGTGTTGAATGAAGGAGAGGCATCGAGGACACAGTAGAGCCCTGCTTCATCTTGCCCTCCATGCTTGGGGGGCACGGTGGCCTCCAGCTGCTCCCTTGGCCTCGTCTCCCGCCATATTGCTCCTGTTCCCAGACACATGTCTTCTCAAGACTTCCCCGAACACAGTTCCAGCCCTGTCTGTCAAAATCCTGCCTGTCCTTACAGCCCACCACTCACAGATCCCACTGCTTTTCTTAATCCTGTTGTGACCACTCCCATGCAGGGAAGCAACAAAGTCAGTTGTCCTACGTCCAGACCTGGGTAACAGGCAAGGCCATCAGAGCCCTTCTTCTTGGTGTAATAGAGTAGGTGGCCCTGAAACCGGCTCTGGGTCTTGGAGCCTGGCAGCTTCAGCTGGGCACTTGCCCCCGTAGGCAGGGCTTTGTCTCTGGGTTGTGTCTTGGGACACCTGATGTCTCCACCCAAGCTCTGTGCTAGTCTGGTAAGGTGGGCAGACTGATTTAAAGTGAACAACACACCCAAGCTCACTTGCCTTCCACCCCTGCCCAGCCATTGGCCTCTGAATGCCCGCTGAGGCTCGCTGCCTTGCCCGCAGCCCCCACCCCCGCCTCCACCCCTTCCCCTCTGGTAAGTTCTTTCAGCTCCCCAGGGCTCAGGCCAGATGGGCTGCTCCAAATGTATTTTACCATCGGATAAACTTTCCTGGATCACTAGGAAAGCAAATGTATAAATCCCTTGTCCCCTTCTGATTTTATTTACATGTGTATTTTTATAGACTTTGCTAAACTCCTTGTTTAATTCAAAATGTTTCCTTATCAATAAAGTTACCGGTGGAAATTCACTTTTCTTTGTTCATATTTTGTTCATGCCAAGTATACCCACTGTCTAGCGGGTCTGTGAGGCAAGGTGACCAGGGGGAGAATCTTGGGGTTCCATTACTTGTGGCCAAGGTCAGGGCCAGCAGTAGCTCTCAAGGTTGTTGGGGACAGGACAGAGCTCTGCCTGGTGGTGGAGGTATACTCTGAGAGCCTGCAGGGTCAGAAGACCTAACAGGCCTGTGAGTCATCCATGTGCCTCTAGGGAGATGCCCTCACAGGGTGACATCCTACAGCGCCCCTCCTGAGGAGGTGGGCAGAGAACTATGGCGCCTCTCCTGCAAAGCAGCTCAGATTCAGTCAGTGCTCAGCTTGAACACAGACTCATGAGACACTTTTAGGGTCATCTCCTTCATGTTCCTTCCTGTGGAGCCCTGTGCTTCTCCTGTGCCAACATCATATTGTGTCATGGACCACGACCTGGGTATATGCCTTCACCTCTGCCTCTGCCTCTACCTCCAGAGGAAGCAAAGGAACCGGTCCAGGAGGGTTTTGGGTAAGGGTTAGTTCAGCAGATAGCGGTTACTGTTACAGTGTCTTGTTCAAGGGCTATCTCCTAGGCCCCTGGTTTCTTTGAGGGGCCACCATCCCTCATGGTTCATGGCTCATAAGCATGTGTGGAAACTACTCAGTCCTCATGGGTCCTGTCACCTGTCCTCCGAAGCCTTCCACCTTAGCTCGGGCTTAGGGAAGAGCACAGGAGCGAGCAGGGCCCACTTCAGCATGGATTTTGGGAGCACCTGCTGAGAAGCTGGCGTCCAGGGCAGGAAGCAGACACAGGAACAGGTCCATGAGACAGAGAAGGTCTGCGGCAAGGCGGGTGTGTGTCGGGATGGGGTGAGGGGGATGAGCTTGCCTCAGGGGCTGGTAATGAGTCAAAGAGGAGGCAGCACTTGGCTGCGTCGTGACAAATCGGAGCGGGTGCTGACACTCAGCTGTCCTCTAGTGCAGGGCTCGATTACCTGGGTGTCAGCTTTCATTATCTGTTGGCAACACTACAGATTCCTGCTGAATTTATTTCAGTCCAGAAACGGTGCCAATTAGACTGCGGTGGGCTCCCAGGCAGCCGCAGCTAGGCCAGCGCAGGTGCTCCAAGGCGCTGGGTGGGTGCTCAGACAGGCCTCCGGGAGACGAGATGCAGCTTATAAATGAGCAACTCTTCAGGGGCTTATTATAATTAAGTTTCTGTTGTGGCACAGAGACAACGCACCAGGTCTCAAAGGCAGAGCTCCCAGGGCCCGGAATACAGCAATGGCAAGTGCTGAGATCGCTCCTGTTCTGAGCCTTTCCCACATCTCCTCTGTGTTCCTCCCAACAGCCGCACGAGCTAGATGCTGTCTCAGTCAGTGTTCTGTTGCTGCCAGAAGACACCCGTGTCCACAGCAACTCTTATAAAGAAAAGCATTTCATTGGGGTGGCTTAGGGTTTCAGAGGTTTAATCCATTGTCATCACGGCAGGGAGCATGGTGACATGCCGGCAAACACAGTGCTGGAGAAGTAGCTGAGAAGTCCATCAGGACCTGCAGGCAGCAGGAAGAGAGCAACACTGGGCCTGGTTTGGGCCTTCAAGGAACTCTCATCGTCTATACCAGTATTTACAAGCAGACATTGTATTGTGGGCGGAGATTCTAGAAGCTTCTCTGGTCTTGGTTCTATATTGTTTCAGGGCCCTAGTGGTCTTCACAGGTGATCTTGCACGAAACAGGGTCCTGTGGGCGGAGCCTCTTTGACCCCGCCCCTTATTTGCATGCCGGGATTGTTTCTCTCCAGGGCTCAGGTCCTTTTCCAGAAGTCCCCAGCAGATGTCTGTGATGGCCTCTGCTTGCTGTGTGGCCCCAGTTGACCATGTTGGCTTTCTTCTTTGAGTCTTCCTAGTCACACACTTTCTTCAGTCTTGAAAAAACCTTCTTCCAGTTCCAGTGGAGTCAGCTCTGCCCGAGCACTCAGTTTTAGGGGTAGAGCAGGGATGTATCGAGTTCCAAGCTCATCTCAAGCGGGCACTTGTTCCCTGTTTGCCAGGCTGTTGAACGGGTTTTCGTTTCAATTAAGATAAACCAAACTGCTGGAGAGACGGACTTAAAAATTTGTAGTGGCTGAAAAAGCAACGGAAGTTGCTTTCTTGCACACTAACTTGTTCAGGAGTTGGTTCTCTCCCTTGTATCGTGTGGGATCCAGCTCAGGACACACCTTTACCCACGGGTCCACCCACTGACCCTCCCATCTGCCTAAGCCACAGGTGGGACAGTCCACCCTCAGGGACCAGGGCGTTGTTTGCTGCCAGTCAGCACAGCAGACAAAACACACAATAACGGTTCAGGGAGCACTTTCAACTTTGGCCCTGAGGTGACCGCAGAGATTCTGCTCAGGCCACCCGTGAGTCGCCATGTTACACAGCGTCGTCAGGAGGCAGCAAGATGCCAGCTGGTGATATTGGCATGGGGAGAGCAAGAATTGGCTGCTGGTTTCGGCCAGCCTCCCCTCATTCCGGCCTCCACAAACAAGGAGACTAGGAAGTCCAGAGGAGACTAGGAAGTCCAGGGGAGACTAGGAAGTCCAGGGGTTAATGACATTAGAGGTGACAAAGCCAGGAGGTGGCAGGTGAGGATGAGAATCGGATCTGATGATGAAGGCCTTGCTCTTGCCCCCTGATCACCCCTGCTCCTGGCCCATGCACAGGCAGAGAGTAGGCACAAGGTAAAAGGGAGCAGAAGCCAAATCAGAGCTGCTTGCTTTAAAGTTTTATACACATGAGCTACATACCGAGACTTTGCTCAGAAAGCAATCAGCTTGTGTAATGAGTTTCTGTGTCATCGGGGATGAGTCATCCCTTGTACCTTTTGAAGGGACGGGGTGACTCATCCAGCTCTGTGAGAATGTAAAGGCTTATTCACTGAGAGTCTCACTTACCGCAGCACAAGTCTCCCCAAAAGGGACCTCAGAGATAGTCAGATCCTATTTGGTGGGGACAAGTGTCATTCATTCCCTTTCAAGATGCAGATGGGGGGGTCCTTAGCCATCTGCTCCTGCAGCAGTGCACCTAGGCACCAGAAGAGGAGGGATGAGGGTACCTACACACACACATAGCGTGCAGGAAAGGGGCGTGACCTTGCAGGACTTCCTCCCTACACATTTCATCTTAAACTATTTTATTTTTCAGTCCCAAACTTAAGACCAGGTCCAAGTATGATACACAGACCTATGCTTGAATGGTGGGAAATAAGTTGCCGACACACTGTTCATGCTAGCTTTAGTGTGGCACGCTGAACGCTTGGTGAGTTTCCTTCGTGTAAGGATACTCTCCCATAATTCTCCAGTAGATCTACCCAAACCAGGAAAGGACACCATCACCTTCCCATGACACCCGTATCCCCAAACCTATCAAGTCCAAGGAATGCCATGGAAGCGAGAAGGCCCAGGTTAGATTAGCTCACTGCATTTACGCCTCACACAGATTTAGTTTTCATTAGGCTAGACCAGTCTTTCCTTCTTTCCTTCCTTCCTTTCTTCCTTCCTTCCTTCCTTCCTCCTTCCCTCCCTCCCTCCCTCCTACCCTCCCTCCCTTCTTTCCTTTCCTTTCCTTTCCTTTCCTTTTCTTTTCTTTTCTTTATATTTCTTCTTTTTTTTCTAGATTTTTGTGACGTCGACACTTCTGATGACTACAAGCCAGCTTTGTGAAACTCCTCTGAGCTGCCTGATGGTTCCTCGTGACTAAACCTGGGCAGCCCTGATGAGGAAAGCCCAGAGGGAAGCTGCGCTCTTGTCCCTGCATCCCACCAGTTGGGACAGGCCTTCCTTCCCGGATTCCAGCTTCCCTATTGCTGGGAATATCAACTTTGTTCACTGGGTCATGGTGGCATCTGCAAGATTTCTCTACTTGCTTCCCATGGCAAACACTTGGAAGAACTGGAAGGATCTCAGGCAAACATTTTCTCCTCAACCTTTATTCACCTACTCATGACGTCCCTCTAGAATTTTGTGCTCCTGTTTCATTCTCCAGGTTAGAATCCACCCCTGACTTTTTTCTCTGGTGCTTGGATCATTCCACATTCCTAGGGAGCTCTTCCTTGGCCACTGGCATGTCTCTACCATTTCACATGTGATATCATGTTTTACTGTGAGCTTGCTTTGTGTCATTTCTATTCCAGCTCTGACATCAGCGGTTTCTCCATGAACTGCCAGTCCAGTTTAGGATAATGGTTTCCAGGAAGTGAGATGTGCTCATCGCTCTGAAGGAATCACTGCTCTCTGACTGTCTTAGCAGTGGACAGACCTACGACATGAAAGGCACGTGCTCTTGTGTAGAGAGCTGCATGATGCTGCGCCTTAAAGGTGGCACTGGTTTCCACCTTCCACCTTCCCGATGGTGAGTGCTCTCAGCTGTGAACAACTCCATATATGGCTAACGCTAAGGATCTGGCTTGCTTCCACATTTCTGAACCTATCTGCGTTTCCCACGTGGCCGGTTGTGGTGGTGCACGCGGTAGGATTTGCTGAAGGGGTGAGAGGGTGCGAGTGGGTGCGAGAGGGTGAGAAGATTATTCAAGGATCCTGAATAAACCGCAGTTAGAAGAGTCTGGTGTTGTGTCTTCCTTGCTGGCGAGGTTGAGCATGACAATTGGTGGCCCATACGGGGAACAACAAGTGGTGGACGGGGAAGGGGACAAGTAGTGAGCCGTACGGGGACACAACTTCTTGTCTGGACTCAGAACTTGCTGTGCGCAGGGTAGTGCACTGGTAAGTGCCCACGACAAGAGTGGGGTTAATGACCACGACAAGAGTGGGGTTAGTGACCGTGACAGTGACCGCGACAAAAGTGGGGGTATGCATGTTATGTTGATTGTGTTGTCTTTTGTGTTCTGGACAGGAGAAAAACATTTGATTTTAGGAACTGCTAAGAAAGGTATTTTGACTTTAAAATATGGGCCTAAGGATTTGATGTTTTGGAAAAGAGGTTCTGTTTTCGTCT